TATTCAGCCAAAGATGTGGTGAACCAACTTTTACAAATCTATCTATGAGCGACATTTTGCTAAACAAAAATATCACTCAAAATTAACATGAAAGTGAATGAGAAATTCCCTGCGTATTGTGAAGTGAAAATCAGCCAATTATAGACGCTAATAGTGTATTGCCAATTTAAGCTGCATCACGTTCTAAAGTCTTCTGAAAGGACCTTTTGTAAAATAAAATAAAAAAAAATCGAAAGAAAAAAGAAAGAAATAGAAAAGATAAGGAGAAAAAGATATCTAAAAGTGGAAAAAAAAGATGGACGAACATAGTTTTACTACGCATGCGCAACTGTCTTTGTTCGCATTGTTCTGTTAAAAATCATTTGCTTCCGTTTCAGAATAAAATTATCCAACCCCACCCAGACTATCTTCGATAAGAATGCACGTACACTCAAAAACAAATCAACACGCACATACCTGATATTATTACACGTATATTGGTGCATTTACATTTGAGTATATGAACGTGTCTTTGTGAAAATTAAATGAAAACGTCTGGTACGAATGTGGCTTTATAGTTAAAAAAGGTAAGCTTGATATTTAAAACATAAATATGAACGCATTTGCGTACGCACATAAGAGATCTGGCAATGGCAGACGCATCATGGATATTTTTCTATTTTTTAAATTTGCATGAAAAAGAAATAAAAATACATTCGTATTTATTTAAATATATATATATATATATATATATATATATATATATATATATATATATATATATCTTTGACTTAAAATTATACATTTTGTTTTGAATTTATAAAAGCCTAATTTCTGATAACCTAATCAAAAACATTTCTCGAATTGCATTGTGCATTTCTCATTAGATATATGATTAATATATAACAATCTCTCCGAGACATATAAACTCCTCGTATATATGTATTTATGCGTCTGTGAGTGAAAGTATATATGCGTACACACACACACACGCGCACACACAGACACGCACAGAGACACACAAACACACATATACATATGACAATTATGTACTATGTAAATTTTCATATATAGAAAACTTTTGTATGAGATATACGATACTAATAAAACTTCGAGCAACTTATGGATTGAAATAGCTTTTCACAAAGAGACATTGATCGAAAACATGGCCAAGCATAAGTGATTTCGAAAGAAAGTTGAAAAAATGCATGGAGACATGAAATGTTGAGTAACTTGGCAAAGAAAACATTGATTGAACATTGTATATATATATATATATATATATATATATATATATATATATATATATATATATATATATATGATGTATATTCTGTTATTTTTAGTGGATACCTATATTAAATAAAATGGATGTAATCTGGAAATCTGACCTACCAGACAACCTCGATTCTTTCGAGCCATTGTAGAGTCGGTTTCAATGCATGTTTTCACTGCTTGGACATTAAATAAAGCCTTTGAGTCTAAGCATGAATGAACTTATACTCAGATGCTAAGAGCTATACTTAACATCTGGAGACAATATCCAACTTAATCACAGCTCTATGGACCATCCTCGATATTTCTACAATCTTACGCGAATACGCTTTGACACAAGAACTTGCTGGTGATCTACTGCTCTGGACATCTAGCCATGGAGCAAGACGGTTTGGTCAACCATCAATAAAGTGTTATCTGCGCCCCTCCAATAATAAATTCTGGTAGGTCTTGTATTTCTGTCAGGATTACCTCGTAGTAAAAGTTTAATAAATCCGTTAAAAAGACGCATATATTTGCCTGACGTCCTTTTCTATTTTTGTGTAGCCCGGAAAGTTATTCTAATAATCCAAAGCATCTTGCACATGTATAAATTCACCATTCGTCCATACATTCAATATGGTCTGTAATGCAATCGGTCCTGACCTGGCATCTCGACCGCAGTCATTTTCGCACCGCTTTGACGAGGCTTTCTTATGTCTTTTCTATAAATATTTTCATGACACTTGTTCTAATGAGCTTTCCCCCTTGGCATCTTTATTGTATGAATTTAAGCGTACTTCTAGACTGATAACTAGTGATCACCGTTTTACTACTGAAATAACTATATACAACCGTAATTTATATGCTAATAGTTTCTTCTCTTGCACCTCTTGCCTGTGGAACACTTTTCCGGTTTCTTGCTTACCTGCCACCTACAATCTATAAAAATTTTTAAATGCAGCGTCAATCGAAATCTTCTGTTTTCCTCAATTCTGTTCGTTTTTTTTATATTTTTTGTTTGATTTTTTTTTCTTTTCTCATTGCTAAAATCTTCTCATTCTCTTTCAACCCAGTAAAGTATTGTGTCTTAGTCGCTTTACCGCCTTATATACACTTTAAAATATAGGTAAATATAGAATCCAGTTTTCATTTTGAGTCTTTTTCGTGTTCTCGAAGGGACGCTTCCTCGTGTAACACAATGTTAACCTCTTCAAGTCTAGAATCAAGGGTTATCAACCCTACAGGCCCTCATAGTTTACACTTCCTCTTATTACCTACATACAGCAATCTCGTTCATTATTTACATTATTCAGACTATTCTCGTCATCTTTGTCGCCATATTTATTACAACGTTTCAGCCATTATACGCTCCGGACTTCTTCAGGTGGTTGGAATGTCGCACTATGCCCTTTATTCCGCTCACTGGGATAGACTGTTCTAGTTCCACGTGCCATGTTTAATGGATGTCAGTTATCAGTTATCTCCAGTTAATTTCCCTCTGAAAGTTCTCCACTACCTTAGCCGGGTATTGAACTCACACTCTTTGGGTCCTGTCAATGGATCTAACCAACGCCTTTATCCACTTTAGGCACAGTGGATAACTGCTAAGTCAATGGAGAACTTTCAGAGGGAAATTAAAAGGAGATAACATAACTGACATCCATTAAACATGGCACGTGGAACTAGAACAGTCTACCCAGTGAGCGAAATAAAGTTCGACATTCCAAACACCTGAAGAAAGCCGGAACGTACAACGGCCGAAACGTTGTAATGAATATGACGACAAAGATGAGTACAATAGTCCGAATAATATAAATAATGTACATAATACCTCATCTCAGAAATATAGAGATGGCAATCTCGTTCTGTAACCCTCTACCTTGAGTGGCTCTTTGGCCTTGCATTATGTGAATATTTAGTAAAAACAAATAAAGATCTATTAAAACCAAAGCCGATCAGTGTGGTTTACTGGAATTTGTCTAGCGGTCAATGATGTCTTTTGAGGCAATCCTCTCTGAGGTTGGTCATTTTTCGTATGGAAGTAAACACGATCTATCTTATGGATAAACAACCCCCCAACAAATCTTCTGACTCATTCTGTTGTGTACTAATTTCAATGATCTGCCGTAATTAAAGTTTCCTTTTTTTTATTTTAACGCAGCTATTTTTCGCACAAATATGTTGCCAGCTTCTGAGTAAGATATTTGTCAGTCATCTGATTTGTACTTTATCTTCTCAAAGCTTTTATCCGTTTCCCTTAGACGATTCATGCCAAATTTCAGTTTAATATTTCAGCTGAAATCGTTTTGTATCAGTAATTCCCACCTTGGGGAAGAAACTGGCGAATTTTCATGATGACATTCAAATTTCCGTTGTTTCTTACCCCTCCCCCCATTTATTTGTTCTATTTTTTTTTTTTTTTTGTCTTTCTCGTCGTCGTCCTTCATTTTTATTCAAAATTTAAAACGTTTCTTTTTGCCATCTTATATATATTTTCCTTTCATTCACTAACTTTTTCTTTTTTTCTTTCTTTCTTTCTTTCTTTCTCTCTTTCTTTCTTCCTTCCTTCCTTTAATTTTACCTTGTTCTTCACTTCTTTCATCCTTACTTTTTATACTTTTCTGCCCTTCTTTCTTTCACCACGTTCTTTCTTCTCTTCACTAATGTTTCTTTCTTTCTTCTCTTCAGTGATACTTCTTTCTTTCTTTTTCTTTCTTTTCTTTCTTTCTTTCTTTTATTCACTGATTTTCGTTTCCGTCTTCCTTTTTGGTTTCTCATTACTGATATTTTCTTCTCTTTTTTACTAATATTGGTTTTACTATTGGGCTGGTGCGTAATTATCAGGCGCTTTTGTAGGCGAGTTATTTGTTAATAAAAATTGCTGTTTTGTTTATTTTTTTTAATAAAGATATTATTTTATTTTCAGGTTATAAAAATGCGTGTCGATAATTACACACTCCGGAATAATCATTTAAAAATGTTACTGTTGAATTTTTACGTTTCTTTTTTGCATAATAATTATTGTTTGAAAAACGCCTGATAATTATGCACCAACCGAATTTTTCTTTCTTTCTTTCTTCACTTCACTGATTTCTTTCTATTTTTCCTCTTTTCTTTCTTAACAGATTTTTCTATCGTTCTTCTATTCACTGATATTTATTTCCTTCTTTCTTTACCGATCTTTTCCTTCTTTTTGCCTTTTCATTACTGATTTTTCTTTCTTTTCATCACTAATATTTCTTTCTATTTTATTTCTTTTTTCTTTCTTTCTTCGCTTCACTTCACTGATTTCTTTTTCCTTCCTACATAGATTTTTCTTTCTTCTATTCACTGATGTCTCTTTCCTTCTTTCTTTCTTTCTTTCTTTCTTTCTTTCTTTCTTTCTTGCTGTCTTGCTTTTTTCTTTCTTTCTTTCTTTCGTTCTTTCTGTCTTTCTTTCTTTCTTGCTGTCTTGCTTTTTTCTTTCTTTCTTTCTTTCTTTCGTTATTTCTTTCTGTCTTGCTTTTTTCTTTCTTTCTTTCTTTCTTTCTTTCTTTCTTTCTTTCTTTCTTTCTTTCTTTCTTTCTTTCTTTCTTTCTTTTTTCCGTTCAGTGATTTTTCAATGCTTAACATATTCCCACTTTATTCCTTGTTCGTTTGTTTCTTCCTACTCTCATTTTTCTTGTCTTTGTTTAATTCTATCTATTCAAATTTCAAACCTTTCTCGTTTCGTTTTTTTCCTTCTTCAAATCTTTTCTTTTCCTTTTCTTTCTTCGCATTATAACATGTTCTTTCTTTATCCCGCCATGTTTTTTTCCAATTCTTTTGTGCACAATGTCTTCTTTGCTTTTATCCATCCAAACTTCAATACAACTTCATTTCTGTTCTTCATTTCCTTCAATCATCGCTTATTTACTTTCCACCCGTGTTCGTTTATATTTTTATTTCTTTATTATTCTCTCTTAGCGCCTTCAATTGATTCTAAACACTCCATTTTCATTACTTCTTCATTTCTTTTTCTCCTCTTATTTTTCTTTATCTCTTGCTTTCATTCTTTCTTTTATCTTTCATTGCTTCTTCTTCTTCACTGTCCTGCTTTCATTCTTCTTTCTTGTTCTACGCCTTTTAATCATGATAAGCTCACTCGTACTTATGCTGTCTTTGCCTTCCCACAAAACGCTCTCCATGCTATACGAATGCTCCCAGCCTTGCAGCCCATTGACAAATTAACGTGGAAAGATGCAAGAAATTAAATCCAATTATTTTATTTTATTTATTTTTTTTTTGGCTTCGATTCCTGACAGAGATTCTAATCTACAACTCGCAGCCCGAGACGCTTTTCAAGAGATAACAGATGTTCTATCAAAAGAAAATGTCTCGCTCGTTTATTAGTACAGGAAAGTCAGCATTTTGTCTGCCTTGACGAAAAGCCGCCGCTTTTATTGATGAAATTTATTGACTTATTATTTATTTCTGCGCACGAACTCAATTTTCACTGCTTTTTATTTTTCCTCATATTTATACTTTCCTGTAGAAATGAATTTTAATTAGTCTTTATTTTATTTTATTTTTTTGCCGTTGCATTATCAGGCTGTGACATTCACAAGCTGACACAAGAAGTTCTACTGCTGCGATTTCTGGGTAAACATCATGGTTTCACTTCAGGTGATATGCCAAGAATTTCTTCTCAGTCTTGGATTGTTTATCTCTTCGCTAAGGGTGCGGGCGATAAAGGTATTTTTTCTAGGCTGGCTTTATCGGCCTGATTCTAAAGGACCCGGCATTTAGAATAACTGCTAAATAAGATATCCTATCAGCAAGTGCATAATATCAGAGCTACTGAACTACATCTTCAAGATTTCAAATATGACGTCATGTTGCAGAATTACTAGGAACTGGCTGTATTTCCCTTCTTACTTTATAGAATAATAAATTACCCAGTGAAATTCCAACCCACGGTGGCAGGATGTGTGGCACAACGACACATTAATGTCAGACATTCATCCGTACATAGGGTTCAAGGACAAAAAACTTCCCAATCCCCGAGACAACAATCACTCTGTCACCAACATCCACCGACTCACTCTCTTTAGTGCAATGAATGAGGTGTTGGAGTCTCTGGGACGGAGTTTCCCCCATAAGTTTAAAAGGGAGCAAACAGATACTACACTTTCATCCGAGCTAAATGGCTCTACAATATGATGGTCTGACGGAGTTATTCTTGTAATCTGAAGCGTTACTTCCGATCACCGAGAGTTAAGCAACCTTTTTCAGTACCTGGATGGTTAATCACTTGGGAATACCAGGTGCTGTAGGCTTGGATGTGCGGATGGTGTAATAGATCATTGGTTGCCGCGTTCCAATTCCAGTTGTGTCTGTTATATTTCCTTACACGCAAATACTCTTGCTAAATACTCCGCAGCTATGAGTTAATTCGTAAGACTTGTATGACGAATCATTATTTTCTAAAAAAAAAAAAAGAAACTACTCTTGCAATCTAAAAATATTCTCTGGCTTTAAATAACCTGTAAAGGGTATGATTAGACAGTAAGAATTTTTTAAAGATAATAATGGTTTAGTGATACAAGTCTTGCTTCTCCCTCCAGATATTTGTTAATGCCCAGAACTGGAGGGAGAGGAGGTGGATTTATACCTTTTGCCAAAATGCGTGAATTTAAACGTGCTACTAGGTTGGCATCTCATCCTATCCTACCCTTTCACTGTCGAAACTCTTAAATATAACCGTCTCTTCTACACCTATAGCTTTCATGTCACGCACTTCCCATCTGTGGAACTCCCTTCCTCTTACTATAATCTCCAAATATTCAACTGCAAAGCCAAGCGACATCTTTACTCTTGCTCCCACTCTCTTGTAACCTTTGTATGTTAGTGGCACTCCCGCCTTCCTTGGAATGAAATGCTTAAAAAAAAAGTTATTTGTGCGTAAGTGAAGATAACGGTCCCAAAGGGAACTGGAACTCGGATCTCTGATTAACAATTTACCATTAAAACACGCACACATTCAATCTTACAGCATCTGATGTTTCCAAACTCTCACTCATCTAGGTGAAGTCAAGTCTCTATGTCGCATTACTTCGGTGGTCGGACGGGAACGGATATTTCAACATGATACGGCCGTAAATCTTTATTCAAAGACATTGAAAAACTGCCTGATTGCAAAAAATTTTGATCGTCATCCTCTTTTCATATTCCCCTTTCACCCCTCCTGGGGGCGGTAACGAAGATGGCTGTGAATCTAGAGAGTTTGATGAGGCCATTCGCGTCAATTTTATTTTGGTAGACAACTTTGCGCGACGGAGAAGCCCACCCATTTAGCTAGAAGCGCCTCCATCGCGGCTCAAAGGGGAGTGAGACAGGTGAGATCTGGCAAAACCTGATTCCAGTAGGCTGTCGGATGCTTGATCTGTCAAAGTCCGCTTTGGTTACGCCAGCCCGACTGACGCTGCCCACTTCCTCCAGTTTTGTCCGGTGAATATACGATACGATATACGTATAATATAATAAAACGTAATTATACTTTGTTTTGAAGAATTAAGCTGATTAGCTAAAAACAAAAAAAATATTACAAATAATGTTTAATATGAAATGAATAAAATGTAATTGTTGATTATGTCTTTTAAATTGATAAACAAAATTAGTCCTTCAGTCTCTCCATCTTACTATCGTAACCTATCTTCTCTGTGCCTTTTCTATAAATAATTTCATGGAAATTGTTCTTATGAACTTTTTCTATGGTACCTAGACTCTAGGAATTTAAGCGCAGGCGATCATGCATCTTTCGATACATGACTGACGAGGCAGATTCCCCCAGTAGATTGCCATTTCTTTCTGTGATTGAGCAGTTGTCATCCAAGGTTATAAAACCCGGTCTGTTCTGGTATTTACCCATAGCTGGGGTGGGGGAGAGAAGAGGCTTCATACCTTTCCCAAGGGTATTAGCACGTAAAGGGAATGTAATGGTTTCAACTGTAATTCGAACTCGGCTCTCCGATTCCTCAGTCCAAAGGCACGGTGGAGTTATGGATAGCGGGTCGAATTGAGGAATCGGAGAGCCGAGTTCGAATTTTAGTCGAATCCAGTACAGCACGTGCTAATACCCTTGAGAAAGATATGGCTTTTCCACCTACTATGAGTAAAAAAATCTGACCTTCGTCAAGGCAACTCATGTATCAACCTACTACGAAAAAAATCTGCATCGTCATCATGTATCCTAAGCGCCTAAGCGTGTATCACGTATGGCACATAACTGACTGACTAGATTAACGCCAAGGTTTCATCGTTTTACAGTTGAAATGGCTAGATGCAACCGTAAGTTCTATGCTAACCGTTTCTTCTCTTGCACTTCTCGCTGGTGGAACTCTCTTCCGTTGGTCTCCAAAAGTTTAAATGCAATGTCAACTGTTATCGTCTGTCTTCTTAATTCTTCTTCTTTTATTGTTCTTTCCCCCTTAATACTGTTTTCTTTTTCTCACGTTCTCTCACAAATGCGAAGTAATGGCTTTATTGCCTTGCCTGGGGTGAAATTGATTAAAAAGGAAATTAGTGTATTAAATTCTTCAAACTTCCTTTCCTGGTAATGTACCTCCATATTTTCAGCTGACTCTTACGGATTGTTCCCAGTCACGACAATCTTGACCCCTACAAGTCTAGGGTTAGGTTAACTGTTATATTCCCTGCGTCATCGCTTTTTTTGCCTTTTCATTCGCTCATATAACACCACGTGTTAATCTTCTACAATGAGTTGTTCTTTGGACCTTCTATTGGGTGAAAATTACTATTAAAAAAAGTTTATTTGTGGTTCTTGTTCTTCCTAATACATTGTTTCTCACATGATCTGTCCATGATAGTGTCAACATATGTCGTTAGAACAACAAGGCCTTTAATCCTTCTTTTAGGATTGTTAATCTTTTTATGTATGCGTCTAGATAAGAATATAAAGTAATTTCTGTTTGTGTTGATTCTTACTATTTTTTCTTTTTTGATTTTGATAAAATAAAAGAAGCTTTTTGATTTAAAAAAAAATACAATTTAAATTAATTTACTACACATGAAGAAACTGCATGAAAAATATATTTGTTGGCATTTAAATGGCGCAAATGTAATTTTCTCTTGAATACTTAGTCGAATGAACAGAGCAGTTTGGGAATGAAGGTGCAGCTCAGAGCACTATTTTAATGTTCGCCTTCTGTGTACAATTACAGCTGAATATCGTATTGTTTGCAACTAGTGAAATATTTGAAAAGATGTTAATGCGAAATTTTTGTTCGTGATGGGGGAAATAAAAAATATGAATCAGCGCATAGTGAATTGATTATTATTATTATTATTATTATTATTATTATTATTATTATTATTTTATTTCCTTTGATGTCATTTCTCTCCGGGTCCCAACCAGAGACCTAGGTGTCAAAAATGGCGTCCTGACATTTTCCACTGAGTAAATAAAAATAAATAAATAAATAAAAATAAAAATTTTAAAATTATTATTATTATTGTTATCATTATTATTATTATTTTCTTTGATTTCTGGCGTGTACTCATTAATTTCCGGGTACCAATCTGAGACCTAGGGTCAAAAATGGCATCCTGACATTTTCCACTGAGAAGTTTTGAAAAAAAATACCCACATATTTTACACAGATAATGCCCTCCGTAAGTAGTGGGTTACATTTCTATAAGGTATGGGCTTCCAAGAATCCCTTCAATGAATCTATTGGAATTTTTTTCAATTAGTCCGAGGGCGCCAACTATAATAGGGATTGTTAGTGTTCCTATGTGATTATCATTATCATTATTATTATTATTATTATTTGCAAAAGTTTAAAATATTGCAGGTGCTTTCTTCCTTTCATTCGACGTCTTCGTGTTCAGTAATGAGATTTCTTTAGTAAATTATTTTAATGTGCATATAAATGTCCTACACTTTCAAACAATGAAAACTTTTTGAAGAACTATACATACATACATACATACATACATATACACACACACACACACACACACATATATATATATATATATATATATATATATATATATATATATTCCTTTGAAATTTACTATATTTATAGGCGGAAAGCTGAATATATGAGGCTAGATTGTTTGTAGGTATAGACAGTGTGACCATCGTAATCATATAATCTATCTACATATAGGCTATCTGTTTCAGATCTCAAGCGATCTTCAGATCAATATCACTTAAGGCGTCAAACAGACATTTACCATGCACTGTTGATTCCTATGTCTACACTGTCTATATGCATACGTGTGTGACTATATCTATACCTATTTAACTATATAAATATATATGTGTGTGTGTGTCTCTCTCTCTCTCTATATATATATATATATGAGTGTGTGTATAAGTGTGTGTTTGTGTCTATATATTTATCTATCGAGCTAGCAATCTCTCTCTCTCTCTCTCTCTCTATATATATATATATATATATATATATATATATATATATTACATGAATCATTCATACAAAAACAGTTATTGAAGTTAATGCTATAAATGGCGAGAATCCATCTTCGCAAACAAATTTAATAAATTACATTAACCCCAAACCCGTAGATGAATGTTATGATCCCTGTTTAGAAATTCCAGTTGCATAAGGTCTTTTTTTAGTTTTTTACAAACTTTCATCTGTGCATTCAGACATCATCAAGTATGAAAACAGATTCGTTTTTTACATCCCGGTAATAACAGGACGAAGAAAGAATAGATGTAATCCGAAATATGTTTTTAGAAATGTGTTATTGTTAAGAAATTTTGGAGCGTGCGGTCGCAACGCTGAAGTTGAATTTTTAAATTTTAAGATTGTGTGTTTTTGTCCTAATATGGTAATAGGAGAATTCTTTTGCACTATGGCATGAACTAAATTCTTCAATAAATAGAGGAATATCACAGTTATTATCCGAAAGTTGCACATCGGATCAGTTTTTTATATATATATATATATATATATATATATATATATATATATATATATATATATATAGGAGTAATCGTTTGGAAAACCTCGGATAGCTCAACTTGCAGATATGCCAGGACAAATCGGTACCCGAGGAAAAAAATGGAGATAAAAAAGAAAGAACTAAAAACATCAGAACAAGACGAAACAAATCGCCAAGTGTTTTAAGTTCTTAGTCCAAAAGAAAAAAACAAACAAGCGAGTAGAAAGACTAAAACGTAGTGTGCTTAATACGGTAAGTAGAGCGATAAACTAGAAAAGTTTAGCGAAAAACTGTTAGTATATATATATATATATATATATATATAGTAAATTTGTAGTAATTATTTTCATTCCACGATCACCTTGGTCTGCCGACTTTTTATGAAACACAATCTTTTTGTTATTTACATTTTATATATAAAATTACATAAAAACTAAAAACACACACACACACACACACACATATATATATATATATATATATATATATATATATATATATATATATATATATATATATTCACAAGCCTCCTTGTAAAGAAAAAGAATAAATAAATTTCTCTTTCTGCCGGGGCAAAGACGGTCGGTGTAATTTAATATATATTGCCTCTAAAGCGTGCTGATGTTTTGCCAACTGTCCTTAAGCCATAATGGAAAACCATGAATCCGTGTATTTGTACGGAGAATCTGGATTATCTAAAAGGTCTTGGGCTATCGAGGGATCTTGTGCTATATTATTACGGCTAATAATACCTTGTCTGATATTGCCAGGCACATTTTGTGCAATACACGTTTCAAGCCGCTGGTTGGCCCGATCCATGTAGCCAGCATCACACTGACATTTAAATTTATAAACGACCAAACTGTTTTGTAGATTTGGCAGACTATCATTAGAAAACGAAGAAAAAGCGTGTCTTGACGGCAGGAAAACACAGCATAACACAAAATAGTTTGGTCGTTTTCTTGTGTAAGACAAAGATGTCTCTTCCGATTTCCGTGTAAGACAAAGATGTCTCTTCCGATTTCCGTGTAAGACAAGGATGTCTCTTCCGATTTCCGTGTAAGACAAGGATGTCTCTTCCGATTTCCGTGTAAGCCAAAGATGTCTCTTCAAAATTCATTTTATAGTGAGCTGGTTCTGAGTGAATTAAAATTAATAACAGGATTCATTATTGGTAGCCACAATTTTAACAAAAGTAAATATGCTGATGAAACAGTGTTGATAGCAGAAGGAAAATACAGGAATACCTACAGATGGTCGTAAAGGAAAGCAAGAAGAAAAACTGACCATCAAATGCAAGAATGACAGTGTGTATGATTGTTAGCAAAAGGGACAGCCCAACATGCGAATTACAAATCGGGCATGTCAAAGTGAAGCAAGTGCAAAAACAAATATCTAGGATTTGTAGGAAAGTCCAACACCGAAATCCGAAGACGTATTGGGATAGTGAAATATGCCTTCATAAAGCTAAGCATAGTACTAGGCTAAGTCAAAAATTAGCCGCGCTTTCACCATAACATATGTTTAGGTTTGTCACACTGACTTCTGCTCATGCGTGCTTATAGTTGGTACTATTGTGGTCACGTGATCGAGGTTGGAGGTTGATCAGCCAGGAGTGTGCACCAAGTAGGGACAAAGATCAATGATCCGAATCTGCAGATATAACTCGCCGGTTCACCAGAGAAATCGGGTCGCTGCTCTTTGTTCCTCCTTGATGCCTGCTGCTAGCAGAGCGGCCATGTTTTACACTTTAACAGCAGCAGGAGAACTGGCGCGAGCAAGTTCGATCACGTGACCACATTAGTACAAACTATAAGTAATCATCAGTAGAACGTAGTGTGACAAACCGAATGGTATTCATGGCGACAGTGTGGACAAATTTTTTACTTACCCTCGTGTGTTACTTACCTCGTATATATATATATATATATATATATATATATATATATATATATATATATATATATAGACGTAGAGAGAATGATAGAGAAATAACATATAAATTGGTTTAAGTATATGTTCAAAGGAGGTTATGATTGGATGAAATTTCATAATTTTTAGAGTTCCTTGATCCGTAAAAAGCACAAGGGGGTTGTGAATTCAGCTGGATTGCTTTAACGTAATAAATATTTCCACATGTATATAAGTGGTTGAGGTTGACGGGCGTCTTGCCTCTTCTTCGGGCGTCCGACCACCTTTAAACTTTTCAATCCACTCATATATATTGTGTTAAAAGCTTCCGATGAATTTCAGCCCCTGACACACCTTCCGACGAGGGGAATCGACAGGAAATTGTGTCAAAAGCCATGACTGCACACGTTCGGAAATGTCACGACGCAGAAAAAGAAGAATTATATTTTGGGTGCGTTGCAGTTTATTTAATTAATTATACTAGTGATAAAGGGTGTTACGAAGTGTTATTTACGCAAGCTACCGTATTTTTCGGCTTAAAAGAAGCTGCGGCTTGGAAGACGCACCCTAATACTGGAAAGAAATTTCAAATAAAAAGAAAACAATAAGATTTTGTTTGTATGGCAATCCCATACTAATCAAGAGCAGAAAGGCTCCAGACGCTGCTAGTAAAAAGCATCTTTACACTTGTGGCTCGGCTCTAGGAAGGTTTATAGTCTTGGAAATATTTGTGGGCAGCTAAGGTTACATCAAATAAAAGGCTGAATTTGATACCAAATATTATAGTTACATACAAATCCACGTCCCTGTCAGTCAAGCCAATTAGGTGACCGTCCAAGTTTACTTGAGCCTGGGCGTTGGGTTACATTCGTCTTGCAAGACGCATACGTATTTTTTAGAAAAAAAAATGCGCTTTGTAAGCCGGAAAATATGGTAAATGCAATTTTAATGCTTATTTATAATAGAAACCTATGTTAGATCGGTTCAGTTTCCAAGAAAACTGAAAAAAATTATTGACTTATTTTTTTATACGTTAATATGTTCTGTAACTGATGTGGACCCAAAGTTGGGACCACGGAAGGAAAACACGGAACACGGATTAGAGGTAAGAAAGATATATTAAACAAAAAGGTCACAAAGATAGTATAAGTGTAAGCGGAGCTTACTATGTGCTAGTGTCCAATATTGGTAGTCATTACGCGGCTGATACTACGGTATGAGAATACTCTCTCTCTCTCTCTCTCTCTCTCTCTCTCTCCTCCTCCTCCTCTTCACCTAGAGTATTATATCGCATACGTTATATAGTCCTGGAAGAGTCCATGTTGTAGGTATGTTACGGTCTCACAATAGTAACCTGCAACAGTCTTTCAGTCATTTTTTTAAAACTTTCTACAGCTTTGCAAGCTTTGCAACACCTGTTACTTTACGATCACCGAAGTTAAGGAACGTTGAGTCTGGTCAGTACCTAGATGGGTGATCGCTTGTGAATACCAGGTGCTGTAAGCTTGGACGTGTGGGTGGAGTAATGGATAATGGCTCGGAATTTGTTATCGCGTGCCAAGTTTCAATTCCCATTGGGTTCGTTATATTCCCTTACGCGCAAATAATTTTGGTAAAGCGATGAATCCCTCACTTCTCCCTCCCCGGCTATAGGTTAGTTAGTAGGAATTGTATCACTAAAACATTATTGTCTCCAAACAAAAAATAAGCTCTTACAACCTAAATTTTTTCTGGTTTTGAATAACATGAAACGGGTTGAAAATGAATCAGTCAATCTGACCTTCGAGGAAGAAGATTTGAAAGAATAACTGTTCCCTGCTCATCGGGACACTAATCCCAATGCTGGATGTTCAAGCATCAAATGAAGGGCAGATTTTTAATCCAGGGTTCATCCTGATTCCAATATGGTATATGTCTATGTAGAGCAAGTGTGGCTCGAGTTGAAGGGCTTTCAGATACACAAACGGATAGACAAACTTTGCCGTATTTTTTATTTAGATAGATTGACGTCATTATTATTAATTTTACTGTTGCTATTCAAACGATGGAAGAGAATTATGTAGAGTTGCGCTAACTGGAATCATGGAAATCACACAATTATTATTCATGGACCCGTGGAAACTCCACGGCTATTGGCGATAAAGATTTTTCCATTTTCTCACGTCTCTGAATTTCTCTCACCCTTTACCTGTGACTTCCATTTTCGTGTTAATCCTTTCCAATTTCCAATGGCCGGCGATCATTTTATTTAAATCTTATATAAACATGGTATAAGTTCATATTATAATATAGATTCAAATGCTAAAACGAAATAAGAAATATACTATTTCCACTTCTCTTTTATTTTTATGACATTCGATAAACAAATTCAATGTCCCAAAATATCCATGGCTCTCCACCGCAACCTGTCTTTCACTTATTGTCATTTTATATCCACCTATCACGCTTATATCCCTATATCTTTCTTACGTCTCCACCTCAGTTCAAGAAAACACTGCCCGATCCAGGGATTGAACTCACGATTACTATGGCATCACGAACTAAAGCTTTAACTCTAGAACACTAACCATCAATTAAAGTTAAACTACTACTAACCATGGGTATATCATACTCGATTTTGAAAATATCAAAAAAAAATATTAAATATAAATCTTTATTTGAAATATTTTCCATGCAGTCACTTCAAAGTTTGTACTTTGAGTTAACATTAATAGAAACTGAAAAACTTATTATTTAGGTAAGAAAATCAGGTACTGAAAATTGTAATTAAAAATAGGAAAAAATTTGCGCAGGGTACTATGTAGACATGGTTAGTGTTCTAGGGTTAATCAACTAGGCTATTGTCCCGTGAACTTGAATTTAGTGGAAATCGGCGAGCTATAACTGATCAATACTAAAAATGAAAAGACAAGCTGATATACCGAGACGTGAGGAGTGAAATGGAAAGAATCTACCTCCACCGCTGTAGATTAAATAAAGGGCTCAGTTCAGATTTCCCTGTAGATTACCCAGGTCGATATACGCTTGATGAAATCTGGAGGGTACAGTGGCCGAAATATTATGACAACAACAACAAATATGAAGGCAATCGTCCAAATATAAATAGTGTAGATAAATTAACATTAAATATTAAATAACAAAAACCACATCACTTGGACTTTCAACAGCTAAAAACAACAACGATGGGTTGCACAATTAACTAAAAGTGAAAAACAATGATATAATCAAGATGTTTATTTTCCCCGCTACTGCAACAAAAGGACAAGAAGGAAACTCTTATCACTAATGGAAAGAGCAATAACAGTTAGGTGAATTGAGAAATGTATTTTCTTTAAAAACCAGTAATAAGGAGTGCCAGAGGAAAGCTATAATAACAACAAATTGCAATATGAGCTCTGGTAAAAACATAATGATAACAGCAAAACTTGCAATATGAGCATTGGTAAAAAATGATTGCTGAAGACATTAGGTTTATAATACCCAGAAATTCATACACAGATGTCCTCGAGGACACATAGCACAGGGGATAAAAGCTTTAGTTAGATCCAGTGACAGGAACCAAAGTGTGTGAGTTCAATACTCGGTTAAAGCAGTGGAGAACTTTCAGAGGGAAATTAACAAAAGATAACTGATAACTGACATCCATTAAACATGGAACTAGAACAGTATACCCCAGTGAGGGAAATAAAGGATTCAGTTCGACATTCTAACCACCTGAAGAAGGCCGAAAGGTTGTAATAAATATGGCGACAAAGATGAGGACAATAGTCCGAATAATGTAAATAAAGAACTTTTTTTTTTAATTATAAATTTTAACCGACAGCAAGTATTGTTCGGGTGCGGTTATAAAGAATGTTTACTGTATGGAAACGGCTATTTTCATCATTACTTAAAAGAAAGATAGAAAGACCGGCATAAATAACAATAAAAGATGGGATCTTCGCTCGGATGAATAATATCTAAAAAGAAAATGCTTATAACAGAAAGAGATGTGACCAATACATCAATGTCCACTTCAATGTCGAAAGAGAGTAATCTACAACGCACAAAAAATATGGAAGGACCAGAAATATAAAAGTCTGAAGAGAAATCAACACTGGTCAAATCGAACAGGAACAAAGCACCAGGACCAAATGGAATTATAATAAAGATGCTGGCGGCTTTAGATGATTTGAACATTGACAAAATTACAGACATAATAAATAAAATATATGACAATGGTGAGATACTGGAAGAACTAAGTAGATCGATTTTTCTAGGGCTGCCTAAGAAGCTGGATGAAAATTAATGGGAACTCCATTGAACAATCAGCCTAATGAACCACATAAAACATATCCAAATTTAATGAATAAAGTGCATAGCAGAATTAGACAGGCCAGTTTTGGTTAAAGACACTTGAACAAACAATGTAATTTTTATGTTCAGAATGATATCAGAAAGAGTAATACAAATGCAAAAGGATGTACACATATGTTTTATAGATTATACAAAAGTATTTGATAATGTATGCTACAAAGGATTACAATAAGGGTATATATATATATATATATATATATATATATATATATATATATATAAGTGAACTAACAGGACAAAAGACATACTCATCAACAGGGTGCATAAAAACAAAAGAATGTTGATAATAGAGAAAGAAAATATGCCTCAAATATGGAACAAATACATCGGAGAACTCTTCTACAACGAAAGGGGAAATCTGCATTACGCAAAAATATGGAAGGACCAGAAATATGAAAGTCTGAAGAAAAATCAACACTGGTCAAATTGAACAGGAACAAAGCACCAGGACCAGATGGAAATATTAATAGACATGCTGGCAGCTTTAGATGATTTCAACATTGACAAAATTAAAGACGTAATAAATAAAATATACCACAGTGGGGATATACCAAAAAGAACTTAGGAGACCCACCTTCATGGCGCTGTTTAAGAAACCAGGCGAAAAGGAATGTGGGCTCCTTCGGGCGATCTCTTTAATATTGATTTTCTAAGCGTAGCTTAGATGTGACACAAGGCCGAAAGTATGGGCGATAATTTTAAGGAGGCACATAATTATGATTACGTTCCGGATTCTGATGAATACAGTGTGTAGCAGGATTAAAATGTAAATACAGCAAGAGCATTGTAGCTTCGTTAAAGACACTGGAATGAGAAATATTATCTTTATTATCAAGGTGCTATCAGGACGAGTGTAACAAATATAGAGCATATACCTCTTCTTTCAGGGAATATATTTAGGAATAATACAAAGAGTTATTTGAACTGCCAGGAAAATTTTATTTTGGAAAATATATCGACATCTTCTAATGCCTTGACCTTGATCTCTGTTCTTCTCTTTATCCTTTTCCCAAACACTCTTCTTTATTCTCACTCTCTGTAACCCCTTGCGTGCTAGTGACACCCCCGCCTTGCTTGGGGCGATTTGCTTAAAAAATATCAAATAGATAAATAGATAGATAGTAGAAAAATGTATTACCTATCAACTGTAAGACAGAACATATATTCATAACAAAAAGGGCAGCTCAAGAACTGGAGATGTCAAAATGAAGCAAGTTCTGAAAATTACGATATATAAGTGTCATAGCAGACGATGATAAATGTGACACGTAAATTCGCATGCGCATTGGAATAGCTAATGTCTTCCACAGACTAAAGTAAATCCTAAGAAAGAAGATACTTTCGTTAGAAACGAAGAAATGAGTTCGGGTTTGCTATGTCATAGCAATCATCATATATGGCAGACAATATCCCCACAGCTGAAGAGGAGACTTGAATCGACAGAAATGTTGTTCTGAAAGATGTAGAAAATACCTGGACGGAACAGGAGTTGTTTTAAAGACAAAGAGAAACGAAAAGGATATTTAGAAAGATATCAGAAAAAAGATATATACATATGTATATATCCATATAATGAGGATAGAGGACTTGTGATATTTCGAATATATATCAATGGATACCAGAGGGGACAAAGATTTCGTAAATTTACAAAACGCCATAATACCCAATGAAAGTTAAACGACTGGAACGTTCTGATCAAAATAACCAATTTGTGAATGCCAGTCCGAAGGACTCATCACCTAACAGTGGCAAACGCCTCGTCTGAATAATGTGGTTCCCAAATATAACTCCAGTGTTTGTTTCCACTTGTCTAGAAAAAAATTATTTGCAAATAAAACTGCCCGCTGAAAAGTTATTTTTCAACGATGTTAATTTGACTTGCTTGAAAAGTCTAAATTGATTTTTTTTTAAGTATAATATCCACAAACTAAAGAATTTCGTTTTTCACGTAAAATATTCCACTTCATTATTCCTCAGCGAGCCTTGATTTTTCGTCTCCAGCCAGAAGCGCGCAGTTGTCGTGGAAAACACGATCACTTCGATTTCCATTTTTTTTCCAGACACGCAATTTGGACGTCACTAGAGTGAACGCCACCGGAAATAGTCTGCGCATGTGTTAGCGCATGGATTCGCCATTTTATGCATTGC